ATTCGTCTGGTATTTTTGTCAAATTTCTGATCAAACCTGACGCCCCCCCCTTTTAACAGTGGTATGTTAACCAACTGTGATTTAATTTATTTGTAGATGAAGCTTTTAAGCGGTTTTTTGTCAGGATTTGGAACTATAGGTTCTCCAGGACTCTATAAATGGTATGGTAAAACCAAGGATATGTGGGTCGTCTAGGAACCTTAGAGGGAGGAGGGGCTGATGCTGGGTTGCTGCGGCTGAAAGAAAACGCATACATTCTTCTTTCACGAAGATTTCCGAATGAAACTCGCATGGATTTGGAACTGTACGTTCACCAGGACTCTATCAATGATAGGGTAAAACCAAGGATATATGGGTCATCTGGGAACCGGTTTTTATTTTTTGTTCGGTGCGAAGTCATGTCGTTTTGAGGCGACTCAATCTATATCTCCGCGCGGAGATATGTTAAGAGCGGCTGAGTTATGTCGCTTCAATATCATAATCTCGCCATGAGTTATAATCTCGCGGAGTTATGTCGTTTCAAACGTCATAATTAACAGACACAAGTTTTATTTAGAATAACATAAAATCAACACATTCAGAAACTATTAGGACAAATTTTCCAATGTTGAAACAAATTTCTTTATGGCGTTACATAAGTTGCAATATTTAAATGACAGTATAATTGAACTCTGTAATTAAATCCGAAATATGTACAGAAAAAAAGAAAATACAGCTGAAATTGTTTATCTTGTAATGAAGATATTTTCAATAAGACTGAAAAACCAACAAGTTAAGTTTGTTATTTCTGCTCGCAACCAATTAGTCTTAAACCCACAAAGAATTTCTATGCACCGCATAAGACATTGTGATCTCATCAAAACACATGAGATATTCGACGGGTTAGTCAATTAAGAAAAACAAACGAATTCTAGATGATAAGTTGACTGAATCATGTTCTTAGACTAAAGAACACAGTGCTCAATAATTGTCTGAGCTGGGACGAGATAAGATATTGCAGTAGCGAAAGCAGTTCGGATTAGTAAATCAATAAGGCAACCCGACAATCTAAGGGCACAGACTAACACATAATTAGTTGACTGTGAAAGCGACAATAGATGCAGCTGATAAGATGTCTCTGGGCGTGCTTACAGCGTAGTTTCTGGCCAAGCGAATTGATAAAGCTCGCCGAGAACTGTGCCCAGACAAGTCAACACTGAACCAGACTGGTTAGCTCCGGTTGTAACCAATTACCAGACGCTGCTTGGCCATACATATGCTACACTGAGAGCGCCAGACAGAGTAATTACGAGAGAGAGAGAGAGAGAGAGCGAGACAGAGAGAGCGCGCATAGTATGTGGTGATAATGGCCAGAAAATGGCTTCTCATATGCAGTAAAGGCCAAACTCGAAACAAAAGTGTATTCAATTGCGAAAACTTCGTAGCCAATTTAGTAGCTCAATTTCGATTGCAACCGATGTTCACCGAGATCAACATATATATACACATATATAAGCCAGAACGACATTTCCAGCATATCAAGTAATTATTATATACATATGCTTATATATTTATGGCTTTTATGAGATACTTGACTCAAGTACGCCCTTCAATTAAAACAAAAAGAATAAAACATCGACCTGGAAATACGATGTGAAAAACGTGCTGGTATAAGTTGTTCTTGAAATATAAATCATCAACTCTAGCAAAAATGTACTTCAAAGAAACAAGGGCCAACAGCTCGTAACACTCTATTCGATATGGGTTTAAAAAGCACAAATTAGAAATAAAATAGCGTACACTTTAAGGTATTATTGGCGTCAAATATCAGAGTCCAAATGCAAATACCCATAATTGATTTGTTTTGATAACCTTTACTACGCAGCTTGATTCACAATATAGTACAAAGAAAATATTATTGTAAGCACCTTGTTAAAAGTATTAGCCCATTTTTTGGTTAAACTGTTATTCATATATTGAATAAACTATTTTTTGTAATTAAAATCCATTAAAAATATGGAAAAAACAAAACTGAATACACTTAATATTCATATGTCGCAATCTATGCACACAAATCATTTGATTCTGCAAAAAAAAATAAAAGAAATATTATATAAGCGAACCGAAGGAGAGCGCCGATATCAAAATAAATCAATTGAGTTGCGGCCGAAAGTCGAGAGACGTCGGGCACGCGTATGCAAATGATCTCATGTTTGATTATGTTGTGCCAGCATATACATGTATGTTGGGAATATTCCATGGAGCCATGAAACCGTGACGTAAACAAATTGATACGCGCCGGGTGTGGCCAGCAAAATGTGGCAAAAACAAAATACAACAAAATTAACTGAAATAGTAACTGAAACGATCGAACAGCTAACGAATTTGATTCGCATTAAAAGAGAAATGACGCTCGATTGATTGTGCTCAGGTCCAGCATTGTTGTCAATTACCCAACTCCAGGCAGGTGAAACGCTTGAGTTTGCTTTTAGCCCAAAAATAAACCCCACGCTGTTAACAAATGGAAGCTGAGCGACTACCGCAAAAAAAAAAAAAAAAACAGCTGATAGTCTGACGGACGACGAATGCAAACGATGACGGGAATGACGACGACATCGCTTAGCTGGGCTGCTAGCTAGTCAAAACAGTCAAAACAGCTGGCCAGCCCCCCAGGCCCATAGCCATGCCCAGACACAGACACAGTGCCAGTCGTCGTTGTCGTCGTCGTTTTTGTCGTTGTCGGCACACGTCGAGATTGCGCAATGATAAGCGCCAGGCAAACACGTTGAGCAACTGTTTAGCGAAGCGTTCCGTGTGCAGGGGGGTGTAGAATAGGGTTCTAGCCAGCTATGACCAGGCATATATGGTGCAGGCCATCATTAAAGCCACCAACACTGACCCTCAATCGAGAAGCGTGGCGAAAAAAAAAAAAAAAACTATAAGGCTTGGCAGCAGCATGTTGGCCGCGGGCCACTTAAACGCTTGGCAACATCGACTCTCGAAAATTTAAAAATATATTCAAATATACTCAAACGATGGGTAATGTATATAAATATATTATCAACATTCGGCACAGGCGAACGGCAGCAGAACGCACATAAGTTTTGTTCTTGTTTTCGTTGAAAAACGTGACAAAAGTATTTTTTGCTTAATTTATTTATGTGCAAAAGATTGTTGTTATTGTTTTTGGTTCTTTCAAAATGGTTTGTTGAGCTGAAAAGCATTTAGATAAATGGCAAGTCCTCGAAAATGTTTTTGTGTACATTTCATCTTCGCAAGCAGTTTTTGTATGGCAAAAACCGAAAGGAAACCTGTTGCCACAGATCATTTTTTTTTTTTTTTTTAACTGGCAGCAAGGCGTGTAAAGTTCAGCTAATCAAATGCCATTTATCTACTCTCCCAGAAACCAGTCAGAAACATGAGCAAAACAAGTTATTAGGTGTCTCCAGCCTGGCATCGTTGGCTATGGCTGTGCATAGCAGATAAGTTCCAAGAACACAGCCAACAATTATCATTATCATATGCTGGCTACCAACTGGTTAACAACAACAGCAACAACAACAACAACAACAACAAGAGCAACAATAAATGATATTTCTTTTTAACAATGCACTTCGGTAACAATTAATTGAAACTGAAATTGAATTGATTGCACTCTCAATGTTGTTTACCTAGAAGTACAGTCATATTTGCAACGAGCACCTGATGAGGCACATACGCATTCATGACTGTCTTTATCATTAATAATTATCATTTCTATTGGATAAGTTAAAAAAAAAAATAACAATACCTCAACAAAGACAACTGTTTAAGCTACACTCATAATTCAAGTGTTAACATAACAATTTTCAGCAAAATTCTTATAATAAGATTTACTATTTATAGATAGTATATAGTAATAAGACATAATTTAAGTCCTCATCAAACAATCCTTATTAAAAAGAGAATTTTTATAAAAATTTAACCGGAAAATTTAAGTTTTTTTAAGATTCGAAAAATATTTATTTTATATCTATTTTCTATGCTTGTTTTTAGAGTGTTCAAATCCATTATTGAATTGGAGTTTTGTAAAAATTAAATATATTCTGTTTCTGTCGAGTGTTTTTTGTGTATTTTGTTTTGGTGCTTGCCTTTTACAGAATAAACGAAAATCGAGATAGAATATATTCTAATTGCCCAAAGCTTGCCTTCTCAATTTTAAATATACCTAAAGACATGTGTTGAAAATTGGCATATGGTAAATATTTATAACAAATTCTTTGGTAAAAACAATGAGCTCAGGAAATGATCTAATAAATGCATTTGCTTCACAAATATGAAATACAAATTCTTCACGATCCTATTCGATTCGATATATGTACATGCATATATTCCATATACATTTTTAAAAGATACTCAGGTGTAAAAAGTATGCAAACATATGTTTTATAAATATGTGTATAACTTTTTAATGCCACACTGTATACTAATTTTGTTAAAGCCTTTTACTATATTCTATTGCCACTGTTTTATGTCTTTAAAACTCTGTTGACTAAAAACGCGCAGAATTATAAAAAATGTTAACTATTCCTTTGCGAGTTCTATAAAATGTTCGTTGTTGTTGCTGTTGTTGCTGCTGTTGTTGCTGCTGTTGTTGCTGCTGTTGGTGCTGCTGTTGTTGCTGCTGTTGTTGTTGTCTTCATACTCAGCTGTTGCTGGCGCTGTCCCCGTTTTAATGATGCCGCGCTACCAGCACAGAATAATAAAATACTAGAATGCGGGCGCCAGCAGGGGAGGAGTCGTAAAACGAAATGTGCGCTGACAACGAGTTAATATACAAGAAGTGAAATCCAACAAAAAATAATTTGAATGTCAAAGGCAAGACAAGTGAGCTACTGCCTATGAAAATAACAAACATTTGGCTATAGATCAATTAGCAACTACATTTTGAAAAGTATATTTAGGTATAGGTATATATGTTTATGTGTGTGTGTGCATGTGTCGACTTATGTGTTTTGTTTATTTTTAAAAAGCACACTTACACGCCCAAATAGTTTGCAAAACACACATGCAAACACATGCATATGCACACATACAAGCGATCAGTTGTATGCATGTGTTGGTAGAGTTGCCACAGTGGGTTGCATAAATTTGTTAATTGCTATTTTTATATGCGCCGCTAGGCGACACAAATCAAATCGAATTGAATATTGAACAAAACTTTCCGCTCGCCTGTGAGAAATTTTGCATGATGCCGCCGCTGCACTTCAATTGTCGTCAATTATTTAATTGTTAGCTTATCAGCATGCATACATACACATGTGCATATGTATGTATGTGTAAGCATATGCGTATGTAAATATGTATGCACATATATTAAACATATTTTCACTCTATCGCACGCAATTTGTTTGTAATTGTTTTATTGATTTTAATGGACAAACTATTTAGAATAGTGAGCAGCGCACTTGAAACGTCGTAAGCGTCTTTTAATTTTCAATGCATGAAACTATTTGCATTTCATACATTTCGATGCAGCACACACATTCACTGTTTACCGTTAGTCCTTCGACTGCGCCTTGTCCATGTACCGACTGCACCCCGTTTATCTTGTGTGCTTCCTTTTCGTGGTCGTCTGCTGCGCGAGCGCCGTCGTGTGACTGTGCGCCGCTGTTGATATTGCTCTTCTTCAGGTATTCGAATATCGGCCATGAAGAACAGAAGAGCAAGAGCACACATGCAAATGGCAATATTCAAATGATCGACTACTATTTACCCTACTACTATTTACCTACCCTCAAGCAAGCGAAACCAATGAAACGAATGAAAATAAGTTTAAGTAATCTTGGCGAATGGATAGACCATAGATAACATATTATAATTTAAGTTACTTAATAAGAGTCTTAGCTAAAAAAAACACCTAATTATTTTGTTTTTTATTTATTTTCTACTTAATAAAATCGTATGTTTAGTTTTCTACATTGTAAAATAGATTTTAAAAAAATTTCTATAACTGCTAATTCATCTGAACATGCCCTACGCAAAGGAAAGGGTATTCACGCGGATTCGACTGTATTTTCTCTTCTTTGCTGCATCCCCCTTTCAATGCACATTGAGATTGCACTGTCTTTGCCATTGCCAATGCCATCAGCTGTTGGCGGGGCATTTTGTTTGGCTTTGCTTTGCTTTGTTGTTCACGCGTTTGCATACCGTAAACACAACGTGCTGTGCTCCGGAACCAGTTTGATCCAGCTCAAAGCGCACAGGTTCGACTCAACCTGGGACAAAAATGCAGCGTGTGCACTTAACGGCATAATTCAAAATCTTTATGATTGTGTCATGTTAAATTTGTTAGTTGAAAAGCGGGCAGTTTGCCAGCAATTAGTTGGGCATTGACAAACGAATGCCATAATTGTCCTAAACATTCTCCATTCTACACACATCTACAACCCCAGAAATCGCATACTCTATAATTGCAATTGTCACAAGCATTCATATAAAGTGTGTAATTTGTATACCCTGTAACAAGGCGATAGCTAGCAGAATATTGGAAAGATTTCTTAAATTTAAGACTATATATATATTGTTGTCAAGACTTACTGCAAGTTAACATAAGGAGCCATAATCTTAGTATGCATATAATAAATTTCTGCCATGCTCATGTTGCCATTCTAATATTGCGTAGTAAAATATGACCCCAAATAACCTTTGAACTTTTCAACAATGATACAGCTAACTATTCTAACAATTCAAAGCAAAACTTCTGCGCAATAGCCTGAAGCAGGTAAGTTTTAAAAAAATTCGAATTGCATAAAAGACAATTCAAAAAAAAAAAAAAGGATTTACCAAGGAAAAACAACCCTGTAGGTAAGAATAAAGAAAATTCGCTGCATCATGTTGAGAAAAACATTAAAAGAAAGCAAAGGCACGAAATTGAATGACGTAAAAAGGGGGTTGGAAGAGCTCATGAACTCACTTAAGTACAGTCTGTCATATATGTAATTATCCCGTCAATTATTGGGATATCGGAACCGATTTAATTTGCACTTTATATTAGTTCGGGAAGCAACATTGATGTATTTTATATATGTATATTCTTTTCAACGGAATATATATTATATAATTATATTTATTTTGATTTTGCGTCAGTGATTTGCATTTTGCAATCATTTACCGACCCCCCCCCCCCCTCCATTATAGAGAAATACGCTAATTAAAATGCCGACGACCTTCGGCGTGATTTTCGTGACTCGGAAACGAGTGAATTTTTGTTTTCATAGGATTTGCTGCAGTCTTAACAACCGCAAGAGTTATTGCTTACTCACAAGTTTGTTTAGTATATATTTATATATTTCTATTAATGCGTCAGAAAAGAATACTTCTCAATAAAATCATGATCTAGAATGTTGATTAGTTTATTTATTTATTTATTACTACAAAAACCAAACGATTTAACTTATAATTAATACAATTTCTGACCCTTCGGGAACCTGAGCACAAGCATTTCATTTATTCCATTCATCCAACAATATGTAGGTATACCAATAACTGCCTAAAATAATGGCTGTCTTCTATTTATAGTACTTATAAGACTAGGAATTGTGCAAATAATATAGAGTATAGCTATTATTATGGCGCCTACAAGTCTCGAACGAAATTATTTAAATGCGCAACAAGTAATAACTGATAAGAATTGTGTTATAAATCTTCAAGTTCACAATTTTATCAGTTGTGTTTGTGTGTGTGTGTGTGTGTGTATTTAGTATAAACAATTATATTGGTATAGGTCATATAAAACCAAATAAGCTATTGCAACTAAAATGTTGGCATTCGCATTAAATGTTGAGCTTGATTAGGCCGCATATTTTTATACCCTGAACCCATTAAAAATGGGTATAAGGGTATATTGTATTTGTGCAACATCCAAATGTATGTAAAAGGCAGAAGGAAGCATCTCCGACCCCATAAAGTATATATATTCTTGATCAGCACCAAAAGCCGAGTCGATCTAGCCATATCCGTCTGTCTGTCTGTCCGACTGTCTGTCTGTCCGTCTGACCTTGTTTCTGTTAGGCTTTTCTTATTTTGTTATATGTAAAAAAACTTCAATATTTATTTAAGAAATGCTCACGGTTATTTTCCAGTGACTGGTCAAATTTGCGGTTTGTCAAAATTGTTATGTCTTTGGGTTTTTTTTCTCTTCAATTTCGGTTTTAAGTCGAAATTTGGTTTATGCTTATGTTAATTTGAAGGTGAGATAAACAAACTAATTAAGTCAGCAATGGTAATACGCAATTCAACCAGCACTGCTTCGAACATAAGGGTGCTAATCTATATATATCAGTCGTTCAAAATCTAAAAGAGTTATGTTTTAAATATTTGCAACTTCCATGAATTCCATGGAACTTCATATGTCTATAGATTTCATGCTCTTGATATTAAGTGTCATATTGACAAGCTATGCTGGTTGCAACATAAACTTTAGTTTTTTTTTTTAAAGTATTTATGTATATTTCGACTTTAAAGTTAAGTTTTGTTAAAGTAATGCATGCCTGGGCACGGATAATCTGCTAAATAAACATATGTATGTGTCTGGCATTTTGGTGCTTCAACAAAGATTACCCCCTCGTACATTCAGTCAGGTCGCGGAATAATTTAATTATTCACCATGCGTAAGTAATGGGGTACCTTCCTTAATGTATTATAAATCAATTAACGTTTAATTATCCTCCAATAAATTACCCTGGCTTGCAGAGAAAAGGCCTTATGGCGCTTGCCATAAAGTCGTAATCCGCCTCAGGCGCACTGCAGCATGAAGCCTTCTTATTCAGCAGAAACCACAAGTCATTATTGGCTAATTTTAGAGAACAACGTTGCAATGCAAAAGCATTTTCAATTAGGAGCGATGTGCATGCCTATGATGAAATACCTGTAGGTATTTGGCATTTACATTAAAATCCCTTGGAATGCAAAAGCAATTTTCGATTTGATTTAATCAAATTGGTTCCATTGTGACTTTGATTATCGCCCTACTATGCGATTCTCAGAAATTCAGATAAGGCCTTTCAGCTTCCATTATTCTTGATTTTTGTTGATTTAGGCAAGGCTTATAGTTCACTTAGCAAATAATAGCTATATTCCTAGTATTTTTTATCCTGGTACATTTTCTACATCGGACTGAAAGTCAGCGATTGAACCTTGAGCTATAAAAGAAGCAATATTTCTCAAACTAATCACTTGCCGACAAGCTAACGCACGCACTCAAACATCTAGCGAGGCGGTTCCAGGGGGGGAAAAAGTCGTTCCTGTCATGTAAATGAAATTGGCATTGCTTGTGACGGTGCTTGGGACATTGCGCTGATATATAAATAGCCCCCAAGGACAACTATAGTACATATGGCGTTGCAAGACCGAAAACATTGCGTTAAATTTAATAAACGCAAATCGCGTGTGCCTAGGTACAAAATATAAGTGTATCTAAAAGATATATGTAAGCATCTTCGATTACATAAAGTGTATATATTCCTGATCAGGAGCACATTTTGCTCATTTTCATATAATAAAATCGGACCTTATACACCGAAGCTATGCATTTGCCACAGTGGGAGCTACGGAAGAGTGTTCTGCGTGCAGGGTATCTCCTAGTCGCAGATACCCAACTAGAGCAGTAGCACTCTTGTCATTTCATATTATAAACACGCTCATAGCTGTGCCTACACCTACTCTAATTGTACATTTTTGGGGGAAATGCATATGAAATGTGTTATCCATTCGTGAGTCAGCACATTTTCAGCTTTTCCTTTATGCAAAAGCTACACAAATTTATTTATGCCCTGTTGTTGGCTTTTCACAATCATGTTGTTGATTTTGCTGTTGATGTTGCTTGGCTTCGTGTGCGTGTTTTGTATATTTTTTCGTACGTAACTTATTTTGATGTTTGATTCGATTTTCCTTGGGCAGAACACAATAATGCGTACAATTTATGCGAAAGCTCTGTTTAATTTATTTGCCTAAGCAATATGTTCGATTGATGGGATAATTATTTCCCAATACAATAAATATTTCAAACAATTTGACGAAACAGTTCCATTCACATTCGTTTAACTACAGAAGGGCACAAAAAAGTGTTTAATGTAGCTTCGATTTGATTATTGCGTATACGCAATGTGTACACTTAAAAAAAACGCTTAGAACTTTAAAGCCTTACTATCTATAATGCAAAATCTTTATGGCTTTATTGATGAAGCACGCTCTGCCAGATTTATTTGTTCAATTTGTGCTGGTTTTATTCTCAAAATCAAAAAACAAACAAAAAAACCCTGATTATATTATATTTAACGTAATTTATTGCTCATCATAAATGAGGAGAAATGTTAATTAAATTAGCAAACCATGCGCAGTGCTCAGCCTCAATTCGAGAAAATGTACGAATTTATGTAACCATAATTAATCGCCAAAACCCGCCATGGTGCCATACGTACAAGCATTCCAATCATGCCTCCAGCACTCAAGCCACTCGTTAAAGCAAATACGAATAATTTATAGTTGAGGCATAATTTTTAAATCGTTTGCAAGCAATCGTTAAGTCGCAGTTGCCTGTCGTACCTGCGGCAGCGCATTCGATTGCCACATTTCCGCACCATTATCAAGGACTGTACTGGACTAGGAAAAGTTAATCGGAACAGTTGCCCTCTGTTTGCATTGTAATGCGAGTATGTGTGTGTGTGTGTGTGGCAAGTCGAGGGGTTGTGGACATTAGCCCATATGCCGTATGGGCCATTAAGTACCGAAACACAAGAACGCAAACAGATTGTAAGTCAACAATTTAAAAAACATTAAAGACACATTTAATTACTGCAGTAATATTAGATACCGTACGATTATATGGCCTAAACGGCTAATGCGAAAGTTCAGTTACCCACTTGATGGCGCTTATTAAATCAATAAAATTATCAACAACTTGTGAGTAAGCAAAAAGTTTGAAAATAAATGTTAACGCCTTATTTCATATTCATCTGTGAAACTTTGTCTGAAATCAAAATATAGCCTCTTCAAAAAATTAACTTTAACAGCTCAAGGACATTGCATTCAAAAATAAATCTGTGCAAATATGTAAATGACTTAAGTAAATATTTAATAAATGAATAATGCAATTCGAAATCATATTTAAAAAAAAAAATGCATATATAAGTATATTTAGGGTAAATTCGTATTAAACGCAGCTTCGTTAGCTTCGGTGTTTATTATCCCAGCTCTAAGAAATAAATGTATATAATTAACACAATATTTGTTATCTGAATCTATGTATCTACAAAACCTAAATAACTGTCTTTCTTTTATTCTTTCGAAAGATGTTCAGACAACAGATCTGAGATCGACGCGTTCAAGCGTACGGATGGACCACGCGTCCGCAGATCAGACTGAGGGACATATAGAGGCCGATCCGGCTATGGATGCTAAATAAGAATATATATATTGGGTCGGAGATGCCTTTTTCTGCTGGCTGTTACCCGTATTTGTTTGAAACTCGTATGCCCTTTTAATCCACTTTCAATGGCTTCAGGGTAAAAGAACAACGAATTGCTAAATGAATTCCTTTGTTCAGATGTGCATATACATATTATTATATATTCGATCCACACAAGCCCGCAACAAACACAATGGACTACAAAGAAAAGTTGACTTATTTTAAGACAAAGTAAAAAACTTGTCGAAATGTGGCGTCCAACCAAGTCAAACAAAGAGTCGCCATGGCGGCGCAATGCAACTGCAGAGACGCCTAATTCGTAAGCACACACTCAAACAAGCACACACACACACACACACATACACGCAGAATCAGCAGGAGCAAGCACTTCCTTAAATATTAGCCGGCGCCGGAAACTAAAATCAATAGTCTAGGGATCGCAAAAGTTCATGTGGATATGCAGGACAATGACCAAAAGCATTCGCCTGGGTTAAGATTCAACTGTGATATAATAAACCCGTATTTATTAATTATGACATACTTGTTAGTTCAGTATGATTTGCACACTGCTGTGTCGGCGGCTTCTGCCCCCCAAGTTGCCAGGACAACACACTTGCACTTAGGGCAATGCACGCTGCAACAGCACCTGCAACGAACCGAGCAGCCGTTTCGATTGGAGCCAGCAACGAACTTCAGCTACGGCAACAACAATCGCGCCCAGCATTGTGCCGCGTCCGGCTGCGGTTTTGTTGTTTAAACGTGAAATCCGTAAGGCAAACTAAAGCGGACAGCTCCGAACTGAATACACAGCAGGCAGAGAGCACGGCGAGCAGCCAGTCAAACGCGCACCACACTGTGGAAAATAAAATAGACGAATGAAAAATGATTATTTTTATGAACCCTTGGTGAACGGCAGCGACGCCATCGAAGCCAGCGCCATGTGCGCTTGCCGCCAGCGCAATCAGCTGCGCTCCTTGTTGCAGAGCGTACGCGTTTCCCAAGTGACGTCATAGTTTGGCACATGCGCACGCAACGGGAGCACAACATCCACAAGCACAACAAACCATCGGCCATCCCACATTCGCATTTGGCCAACTTGGCGCACACACAATGTGGCTAAGAAGTGTGGCTATGTAGCCATCTGGCCAGCTAGAAATGTGCTCATAGCTGCATGCTTGTTGCGCCATGGGGGGGCCCATGTACACTGGGGGCATATGTTATTCGTTGGAATACGCTACACACTTGTGGCAAATGTGTGGTCCTTGCGACTGTGCGGAAGCTCAAGCCCAACGTGCAAGTTAATTCCTAAACATGTTTAATTACATGCGAATTAATAGTGGGAGTGATTAACTAATTAATTAGGTTACATTAATTGTATTGATAGGATGCAGAGCGTGCGTGAAAATAAATCCAAGAATAGAATTGATACAGTTTTTCGCTTTTACATATATTTCAAATACGTAGAATTCAGACAATCAGATTTCAATTAAGTAATTACAATTATGTAATATTTCACAATTGCACGAACATCCTCTCAATTCGATAAATTGAACATTTTAATTCAGAAACTATAAGAATAAGATGCATTTTAATGCACAAACTCAGTTTGTCGTTTTAATAACCTTCATTATACATTCATTTGCCCTGATTATATAATATACGAACTTTATATTTATAAATATATATATATAACTACTTTATCTAAAATAGATTCACATTTTATATAGTGTTTGTTTGTATACATGAGAATTTGAATGGGTCTTTCGAGAGAGCCTGAGATTTAGTACAAATAGATGAAAATTTCAAAGATTTTTTAGAATATTATATACGCAACTCTTGACTAAGTAAATCACAACGAAACAATAAAATATATTTAAATAAGAAAATGATTCAAAAATAATTGAATCCGATTGTTGTGCTTTTATCATTATTGACAAGACCGTAAAGCTAACGTATTTCCCTTAGAAGAATATATTAATGACATATTCTTAAGTTAAAATTATGCATATTTTGTTACATTTTGTGCAAGCTTTAAGTTTGGCACTTTAGTTGGACTTTAATAATGGTGATTAAATAAGGTTGCACTTTAGTATCTTGAATTTATATCACACTCGCGATTGTTTTCAACAAATGCGAAATGTTTAATGAGTAAAGCTTAAAACCATATTGCAAACATTTGCAAAAAAAAAAAAAACAAAAAATTCAAATTAAGTTTTTTAAAGGAACTGGCATAACACAATAAAGCACTTTTAAAACCTAAGCTAAAAATTCAACTAGAAGTTTAACAATCAGGTGCGAATCACTGAGCATTTTGTGCCTAACAGAGTAGTTTCTAGCAGTCTGCACCAGAGATGCCTGTGGTCGAGTTTTCGCCATGTAGAATTGAGTCCATTTCAATTTGCGACAGATTCGCGGTGAGTAGCTTTTCAATTTGTATGAACTTCGTATTTGGTTCATCTACAGATGCAGCATCCACATCTTGTTCGCTGGGATTTTGTACAACTGAATAGTTACGTTTCGCACGTTCTAAAAGAAAACAATAAATTATTGAAGACATTGCAAATAGACAAGAAAGAATAACTATCTATAACTAACTATAAATATAACTATCTGCAAAGCTTAAACATCCTTATGAATAATGAGAAGAACTATGAACTCTTAAATGCAGAGTTTCTGGAGATACCTTAAAAAACAAACTAATGTTTCATTCAAACCGACAGATTCTTCTTTCTATAGAGCTATATGATATAGTAGTAAGATTTTGATAAGATTTCTGTCAACTATGTGAAGCATTTTTAAATTTAGAAATGCCTATTTCCATAAAGATATCATAAAAACAATATTGGTCAGACATTTACAAGATAACACCTATTTGAATAAAGGTTACTTAAAGTAAACAAATGCCTAGTTTATCCGACTGCTTCCAACATTCTGCCTGCATCAGAAAGACAGACCTAGGCACAGTTTTATGACATTAGCTCTAAAGCTGAAAGACTAGACAAGGCAACTTTTTACTAGTTTTTCTTTTTCTACTGCCGGGGTCCTTCTATGCGTTACACACTTCATTACAAAATTATAATACCCTTTACTATATATATTCGCAAAAATAATGATTGTTTTTTACCAAAACGCGCGCGTTGTGCTTCTTGATCTATGATAATCTCATTGGTTATGTACACTTCACGTCGGATTTGGTCCCGCAGTTCCACGCTCATGTCCGGAATACACCAGCGTACCAATATCATCACTAAGGCCACAAAGTTCTGCAAAATCAAATATAAATTAGTTAAACTCTAATTGAACAAATTGAAAACGAACTTATTAAATAATCTAGAGAACAACCTTCGAAGAGCTTTTACATTCAACTAATTGCTAGACATCATTTCATTAGACCTTTCCATTTTAAATTGTATCTGGCACAGTTGCAATATTTCATCACCCTAAGCGATTGGGGTCATTAGCTCGAGGTAAAACCTTAAAAATGCGTCAAACCAATTGAAACTTGGGTTTCTAGTTAATTTAATTTTTTCACTAATCAAACAGCCCGATTGCTTTGTTTTCTATACATTAGCTTCTATCCCAGCATGGTCGAGAATTGAATAGATAGCTGCAAAAAATGTAAAACCGCGATATTTACTGCTTCCACTTTCCCAATCCAAACTAACACCTAACGCTAATATGGACAGACAAAGAAGCCCACAGATCTAGTTCATGTGCGACAAAGGTGCAAGCAAAAAGCCCATCTAGAACTTTTCAATCTGCAGATACAAATACACATTCACATTTAAATGTATGCGTATGTAATTGGCAAATGCTGAATGCTAAGAGTGAAAGTGAAAAGGCAACTCAGTGAAAATGGCACTTAATTTTGTCACACATTGCAATATTTGGATTTAGTTGCGGCAAGTACTTCGAAACGAACGCACGCTTTCTTTAAAAATAAAAAATAATAATAAATGCCAGGATATAAAATAGCAATAGTTTTCTAAGCAACATAACTATACAAAAGCACAACTAAAATATCAAAAATATTTTCATAAAATAAAAAAGATATTTCATTAATAATTGAACACGAAAGCAAATATTTCAACAATTTGAAAGTTCAGCCAAAATGAAAAGATTTGCCTGTTTGAATCTGCGCACTTTGGGCCTCAGCATAGCCTGCTTGGATGCACTAATTGCTCTGAGCATCCTGAGCCTGTGCAGCTATCATCTGTACAATGACTTTATGGACTTGAACCAATGGCAGCAAAATGATGTGCAGATCTTGAGTCCCTTTGGAACATTTGTGGCCACATTGGGTAAAGCCAGGCGCAAATGATGCGCACAATAAAAATAATACATATTCATTTTGTAGTCGACTATGTGCTGGTCCATGAATTCTCACAGGCTTTTTATATGATACTCACAGTGACCGTTTGGGTTAAGGCACTGATAAATCTAGTGGTGGCTGGCATTCTCGTCGATGGCATCAAACAGGTGAGGAATATGCTAATGAAAGTACTTTATGAATATCTCTCCATACTTTCCTTTTGACTGAATAGCAACGACTTATTTCAATTGCCCCCTGGTTGATCAATGCGTGCGTATCTATGGTCATAGAGGTGGCTGTATTCGTAAGCTTGGAGCTGAAAATTGACGAAGTGGATGCCTCCATAGATCGACGCATAGCACGTAGTGTGCTCTTTGGTGTTTTTACAGGTAAGTTTTCGATACGATTTAAATAATGATTAATGAAATTGCTTTGAAATCGATTTGCTTAGTTCTGAATGCGCTGTTTACATACGCCATTTATGCGCTCTATCGCATGTTGAAATCATCGACAAATGAGAATCGAGCCCTGCAGGAGAGCATTGTGGAAACCTCGGGTATGTTTCAGCATATCAAGGTTTGAAACGTTGACTAGCAATTAATTGGAATTCTATACACATCTGAACGAACAGAAAGCAAACTTATTTAAATGGATTTCACTAAATCAAGGTATTTTCTTAATTAATGTACAAGCATTTATGTAATGGAACAAATAAAACGAACAACCCAGAACTCACTTCAAAAACCACAACAAATCCCAAGCGACAAGCTAAGATAATATAATACATGCTCGTCAAATGATATTTTTCCGGTGATGTAGGCGGCTCACGATAGTCCGTGTATCTTTGGGCAAAGAAAGGAGAATGTCATTTAATTTGAATAACTTAAAAATATTTTAGTGTTATTTACTTGCACGTGGTAATGTTGGAAAAATCACCTGCTAGGCTTTGTAGCTTAGAGGAGTCTGATATTCTGAACTCGGACAAGGTAAAGTCCAAGTATCCGTTCAGAGTACCATCTGGTGACTTTAAGCTACGATAGACCAAACGTGGTATCATGTCTGAAGTGAAGGCAATGATGAAGCCCTAAATAAACATAATGATTCAGTCTACATTATCATTCAAAATCATATTCCAACTCACATTCGTGATGACACTCAGCTTGCCAATGCAATCCAGTATGCGATACCAGACACCTATGTCCCTGACACGCTGAGAAACTGGCCTTTTGTGATGTGTCAGCAGCTTTTTGGCATCCAAGCGCATTTCGAGTATGTTGTTGAGAAGCGCAAAGAACGGAGCAAGCGGAAAGGCAGCCACAAAAATGGTGACAAATCCATATTGCAAAACCATTTCCAGATACTCTGGAAACAAGCTACGTGCACCCCAGTCGAGCAGCTTGAAATCGCGCATCCAGCGCTCATCCTTGGTCTTGTCTGGCTTAACCGCATTGCCAAATAGCCGCGACAAGCCCACCTGAATGGCCAGTACTTTGCGCCAAAACATGGGCAGGTAAACCTCCAATATGGTATTGAATGCCTGCTTGCCTATCATTATTATGGCCAGTTGTATGCAAAGCTCCGTCAGACAGCCGCCCGAGGAGCACTTCAAATGAGAAACCAATTAGAATCAATCAGACCTTTAAAGAAATGCAAGCTTACCTCCTCTTGACGGTATTTGAAGACAGTTATATACTCGCCCGGATGGCCAACGAATTTGCCCTTGAAGAAGGCTATATAAAATATGGAGGCATAATAATTCACAAACTGCAACAGGTAAATCTTAAGCGTCAACGAATCGTCGAACTGCGTTTGAGTGCGCCACATTTCCAGCTCAGTCAAATACTCGGCCAAGTGATTATACAACTAAATAAGAGAACAATCAGATTAGACAGTAGATATGAAAACTAGCTACTTACATAGTTCAGTACATAAAGCAAGCAAAGATTAACAAATGCCGCCGATGCAGCGGCCAGAACAATCGCTTTCGACGTGGTCATGCCGCTGCCGTCCACCTTTAGAGCAGCCAGCATGGACATGCGATGAACGACAACCGCGACCAGGGCAACAAAAGCCAAGGCTATGAGTAGCACCACAACTGAGAAGCTGAATACTGTCGCTGGCAACTTCATGCGCCAGAAGGGCACTGTCGGTTCCTTCATATTGGTCACATAGTCTGTGCGTGTGGGTTCAATGTGCTCCAGGCGCGCCAAATACTGCGGCCGGGGGTGTTCCTCGTGCACATCGAAGCCCGTCAAATCCCAGCGATGTGTTATCTCAGCCGAATATCGTTTCCAAAGCTCCAGAAATAATGTCGCCCAAAACGACATAAATACGGCAAAAAATACCGTACTTGGATTATCAATTAGGTATGTTATCTTGGCATAGTTGCAAGTCTCTTTGAGATTCCAGAATTCACACCAGTCGCAAAGCGGGCACATTGTTATATTTGAGTTTGAGCGCAAGCAAATGTCCTTACTGCAAGAAGAGAGAAATCTCAATTAGTTATGTCCCGAATTGACACACCTGCCAGCAACTTACACGGGCACATAGTTTTTCAGTGAGATCCAGGAGTAAAGAAAACAAGCGACGCCCACTATTGAGGCCAGCAACAGCATATACGTATAGTAGCCCAGCCAAGCGAAGTACAGACCTGATGTCAAATTATAAAAGTGTTCATTTCGATTGAAACTGTCGCTTTGAGCCTGAGCTTTTACCAATCTTAACGCCAAAGTACTCTTTAATATCATCCAGCGGCTGGTAACGATACCATTTTTTCACCGACGCCCAGTTTGTGTACAGCAGCTCGCGTATGGTGCCCTTCTCATTGATTTCGCCCTGCAAAGCAATTGCCATAAGATATATTGAAATTTGTCACTCAAAGCTACCCACATCATGCAGTGGATAGGCAGCACAGTAGACACCCTCGGCCACCAAACGCTCAATGCCAAAGGCCATGTCGCTGTGGCGCTTGGCAGGAAAGCGCTGGCGATCCAAAATGAATTCCACAATACGCGAACGGACTGCGGTTGTAAAGAAACAGTCCTGACGTATATCGAACCTATAAATAATTATAAATATATATTGAAATGAATTGATCGCTACAATTATGCTTCGTGCTCACTTACAGATACTCCTTATCACGACTGTAAATGGCCGTGAAGCGATGCGCACGTCTTGGAAAGTATTGCTCGTCGACATAGATATTGCGCATAAAGAATTGACAGACTGTTTTCAGACTAGAATATACACTTTTCGTGGAGCGATTCACCACAGATAGACCGGGTATCTGTAAGAATAAAATTATGCTGATTATTTACGCATTGTAAAAAGTACAGGGAAGTTGTAGGTTAATCGAATGGAATGTTGGTTAACAAAACAAAAATATATAAGAATACAAATATGTAATTTCAAGTGGGATTACAGTTTGGGTTAACTAGAACAAATCGAACTAAAAGATCACGAGCTGAATGCCAATATATTTTCAATTATATATAAATACACAATTTGGAATCAGTTGTACGAAAGTATTTACATTGGATAACGAGTAGGGCTAATAGCTGAAGCATAAACATAGCAAATACATTAAAAATCGAGACACATTTAGTTGAGCAGCGCATGTAAGGAGCATATCTGCAAAGATTGTTAATTATGTTAAACTAAGACCTGGACACTTTTGCAGACCTTCTTGGACAAATAGTGCGCCGCATTGTGTAGTCGATTTGATCTTTCGGATACGCGCATATTACATAATGACTAAAATAACAACAAGACATGTGTATCATTCAAGTGTATCCATAGTTTACGATTACAGAATTGGGTACACACCTCCTTCATGGGCATACGCAGCTTAAGTATCTCCGCATAACGGCGCAGCACCTCCAAAGGTGCATGTATCTGAAAGTTTACAATGCAAATATAATGAGCATAATTGTTGGCTAGACAATTTAGAGTCACGCACCTTGACAAAGTAGATTTGGTCCTTTTGGCTGAGCTCCACCTCCAGGCCTTGCTGCACTAGATTCTCCTGGAATACGCGTCGCTTTTCCGCATTTTCCGCCTCCGTCGGTTCGTGTGCATTGATCGTGTGCGCGAGCACAAAATCAATCGAACGCGTGCAATCCTCAAAGAATAGTGAGGTGTTGAGCTCGGCTCTTTGGTAAAATTCACGTGGACAACTGCATTCGCGGTCATCGTAGTTGCTGGCCACCAATGTGGCTTCAGTCATTGGCAGCAGTGGAGTAGACTGATTTAAGCTGGTGCTCCTATGTTGGCTACCCTTGCCGTTGGGCACTTGCCCGGCAGTGTCTGGCAGTTTTAGGGTGGACGAGCTGCTGTGGCATAAAATATTACATATCGTTAGATAGTTCGAGCAACTACAGCTTGACATGGATAAACATGAGCGACTGATTTCATCAATGCTGCCCTCTGGTCTCCCACTGACCTTCTGGCTCAGCAGGGACTTGCTGCGACCTGGCGTGCCCGGCGCTCGTTAGCATTTCGCACCACTCCCCAATTAAATAGGTCAATATGAGGGAGAGCTGTTAACATTAAATGGGTCGCATACTTAATAATCGCCAGGCTAGTACATTAAATTTTAGGCCAGCCGCCAGGCGCCTTGTTTATTTCTGTGTCAAAGAATTTAATTATTTATGCAGCTGTTTTATAGCTCAAGCAGGCAAACTGTGAAAATGCAACTGGAAATAAACCAGAGATGAGATATTTGAGTATCTCGTTCGAAAGTTCTCAGCACTTTTAATATGCTATATATATTTGAGATTGAGAGAGAGAGAGAGAGAGAGAGAAATGCCGATTCGCTGACACTTGCTAATGAGAAAAGCGCCCGCACATTTCATATATATTAAGTATATACTATATACAACATTTGATATTTGCTTGTTAAACACATTTCATTGAATATCACTTATGATTCAGATGCAGTGGCTTTTACTCCTAACTTTAACTAACACTCATTCATCGTGAATCATCAATTATTCAAAAGTACCTGTGCCCGGGTACTCGGTATTCGGTTAGATGCATAAACGAAGAAATGACTCGACATTCAAGTTACATTTCAGGGCTAATGAATATTGTTTCCGTTACAATGTGAAAGATAACAGAGTTTCCCAAATTCCTTACATCCATTGTAAGAAACTTATACTCAGATTTTGATAATAGAATTCCTCATTATTATAATGCTCATATATAAATCCCCTTTATACATATTATTTGACTTGCAAGCATCAAGAAATGTAGTATTATGCATGGCTGCTAATCAAAATGAACTTATATTATAATTTCCAAATGGAGGGCATTACTGATAAGAAAATTATATAAATATAGAAGACAAAAAAACTCGGTTTATGTTTCAGATCTACAATCGTATAATTACTTGTTACATATTTATATTGATCCAATACGTAAATGTTTATAATCTGTTAACCTTTTCAATTATCTGGCCATCAGTGAAACTTTCATAGGAATCTATCTATCAGTCAATAGGAATCAGCGAATATAATTTATCATAATTAATTATTGTTCTCTTTGGGCCTTTTTTATTTTTTTCTTGACCTTCCAGCACAAGGTAATTAGTTTGAGGCTTTTTCAGAAACTATTCAAATTTACACACAGTTCAGTCAGACAAGTTGAATGTATACTCTTTTTTAGACTATTACAAACCCACAGTTTTATTTCGGAATTTAAAAAAAAAGTTTTTTTTTTTGTTTTAATCAAGGCCAAAGCATATAAATTTATTCAAGATCTTGTACGATGCGCGATGCAAAATACAACGTGAGAGAGGCGCAAATGTGCAAAACATTTTGAATATAGCTTATATAAGGCATTGTCAATGATATATGCAAGTAGTTCACTTTCTAAAGATATCCGGAATTTCGATACGGGAATAATGACACACGCAACTTTTGCGCGCCCACACAACAAAATTCCAAAAAAAAAAAAATAAATAAATAATATAATATAAACAGCTGCGAGCAAGACAGAGACAGAGAAATCTTTGTCTGATGTCCCCGAGCTGATGAGTAATACAAAAAAATGATAAGTTAAAAGAAAAAAATGCGAATTAAGGGAACTAAACGTGCTGCGCGTTACCGTTTCCGTTTCCTAAACCGACCCACTCTGACATTGTTTACCTGAGAGCTGTGCCGCAAACAAATAAAATAGCTAAGAGCTTATGATGTCTGTTGGCCGTTGTCCACGCGAATTATTAATAAAATTAACATTTGAGCGTCGCGCACGAACACAAAGAAGAAGAAAAACCACAATGCGATGGCAACGACCAAAGCGCAGCAGCAGCGACAACAAACTGAGAAAAAAGAAACAAAGAGCCAGCGCTAACAGCTGAGCGGAGACTTCGTTTACCGGGTAGTCTCCTTAACCCACCCACCGCCCACCCCCCCTCTCACCCACTCCCTTAGCCAATCACACGTGTCTACAGTGTAGACTCTACAACCTGCTCAGACATGTACAAGACAGACAAGAGCGCGGCACAACACAGCTGTTATCGGCGTCTGCCTCTGTATACCATGCAAAAGCGAGAGCACCAGAGAGAGAGAGAGAGAGCACTTGTTGAGCATAACAGATCAGTGTGAGGCATATCGGACAACCTGTGAGGTGTGTCTGTGTGAGGTGTCGCGTTTGCAACAACAATTATTGGAGAAGTTTCCACTATTTTGACTGTTGATAACACGAATAATAAACGAAGCTCGAGAGTGCAGTAAACAATTATTTGTCAATTACAAAGATATATTGATAAATTGCTATAGGGTGCTATAGAACAGGTATTCGAGAGCGTTTAGTTATATCATCTTTGGGATTGACATTTGAGCTCAGATATATTATCATTAGAAATGCCAAGCGAAATAAAACCTTGCAACCTTGCTCGTAAAGTTGATATTATTATTATTTTAATATACTATTTATATTTGTTCAATGCCTAATAAATACTGTGGAATAATATTTTCTATAGAAATAGACGCTCAATCGAACTACTTCTTTTAATATATCCCAAAAAATCACGATTTCAAATAGGAAAATAGTTTCATTTGAAAAACCATGCTCACGGACGGAAATTGGAGATTGATTTTAACAGATTTTTGTGAATAATATTTGCCAGAAAATTTCATGAATTTTATGTCGAAAATTGATTAAATTTTACTATACGAGAAAAAATAGCATATTATAATAATCTTTTTAATTTCATATTTAAGAAAATTTATACTAATGTCGCACTTTCCAGTCTTATCAAAATATTGGAGAGTGTATTAGAGTACTCTTTCCAATAGAACTATAATTTAGTTAGAGTAATTTATCTATTTGATGTGTAGCTTGTTAGACAAGTCACCCTGTATCTGTCCACAAACAAAACGAAACCAACAAAAGATAGAAATAAACGAAATGTAATTAAGTTAATGAACGTTTCCGCTATACTAAGGGCATTCATTGATAGCATATACCCCGGCTTACCTCTCCGCAAATCTGGTTCGTCTCTCGTGCAAGCTGAGTGATTCACTCGGTAAGTGGCTGGCTTTTCCGGCAATGCCGCTCCGCTCAAGTTCCACAAACCGGCTCGCAGCTTCCGCGCCGCTCGCCTCTCTTAGTCTCCGCTTGCCCTCGCCTGCCCCCCATACGCTGCCTTCGGCTACCAGCTTGCCCTTTAGGCCAACTCGCTGCAACAGCTCCATGTCGTAGGGGGCCAATGGAGCCGTGTAGGGCGGCTGAATCGCAACATCTTCTGGTCGCTTGCTCTGCTCTGCCAGCAGCCGGAGGGACTCTTCCTCGGGCTGAGCTGGCGGTTGGGGCAATGTAGGCGGCGTTTCCAGCTCATCTGCATCGCCATCGGCATCGGCATTATCTAAATTTAGCATTTCGCTTTAGATGTATTTGGTTTTGGCTACGCTTTGCTAATTTCTCGACCGACTTGTTTACTTTCACATGACATTTGCTAGTGTGTGTGTGTGTGTGTGTGTGTGTGTGTGTGTGTGTTTGTGTGTGTGTGTGTGTGTGTGTGTATGTGTTTGTAAGGCAAGCAGAATTTTCGGGTCGCGTTGGCCAAGTTAATCAGCGCGAGGTCAACTTGCGAGCATGAGAAATTTTCAAAGACGGAGGGCTGTTATCACTGCCTATTAAACCTTATATTAAGCAGTTGCATTGCAGCGATTGCGCCGAAAATAGCGGCATTCAGAGCCGCGGAAAACCGAACACCACCTCGCCAAGCAAAAGGAAAATAAACACTAACGATTACAATTTGTAAGCAAAAAAATAAATACCTAAACGAAAATAACCTAAAAAATACCATAAAAACTACTAGCTTGTCATACAATCAATCGTGCAACACAAGCATGGGCGAATGTTTGATAACAGCGAGGGGAGCTAATATTAATCAACTGTTACTCAGCTGTCATGCATGTCTGAACGTGCCTGATATCTTTATCAGTACGTATCAAAACTGAGAGCTTTTTAAGGTAAATATAAACTTAAATTGAAACATGTTTTTAATGAATATAACAATTTGTATTTATACGGAATAGAACATAAACAAAACAAAACATTATGTTACAATTGCGGAATCGCAAAAATGATCAGTGATTCACACGTAATTGGATTTTAACTGCACCGAGTTTCTAGCTCGGCGAAACAACAAATTTTTAATATATGGAATAATAATACAGCTGTGTTTAATATAGTATGCACTATTATTAAGGGGCTAAATTATGCATTTTGGACATCGAATTTACAATAGAAACGAGCAATGCTCCAAAAATTTACTTCCTGTTGTAGTTTTTGTGCACTTCGGGCGAGATGTTGTAGACGAATTGCAAGATCTCCTGTATGACGGGCTCTTTGCGCGTCCTGATGGCGCCCTCCATATCGGCGAGTTTTACACGAGTATCTGCATCGATTTTCGCTGCAACCCCCTCGCGGCTACCCATGTGCTGTTTTCGTAAGTGTAGAAGAAAAGTTCACATCTTTATTTTAATTGGTATTCTTATTGGCAACTAACCTTGGCCTCGAATTCTTTGAAGGAGCGTTCACGCTCCTGGCGGAATTTCTCAATCTCCTCGGTGGCCTCATCCTTGGCTTGCTTCAATCTCCTTGCCTTGCCTGCAATTGATGCAACGATTTTTTCATTCTATCAATATTTACTTGAGCAAACAGAAATCATGTGACTGCTCGACGCGCGTAACGTCGATAGCGAAAAAGTCGTAAGGTTTTTGTATCTATCCAATTGGATGGTTAATTGGTTTTTGGCTTACGTTTTCTGGCCTCGGCAACCTTCTCAGCTGCCTTCTTTTCGGCAGCAAGTAATTGCTGGATTCCCTGCGTTTGGCTGGCCATTTTAAGGTATATTAACACTTATTGTTTTTCTGCTGGCTGCAACCGTGGTATCAGTGCAAGTTGAAAAAAGCAAGTGACGACGACGACGGACTTAATACAAACGACGTGAAAAATGTCATATGACGAAGTCACACATACGCATACATACAAAATTGGCCTGAGAATCGATTGTATCGAATATAAAATTAGAGCTGCCAAGTATACTTGTTCAACGATAAGAATCTATCGATACTCTTCTTCGATATTGGACTCCTCCAGCATAACAGAATACTCCTCCCACTGTTTTTTTTGCGGAAAATAAATGAGTTACGTTCTACAGCAAGAATATGAATTACATAAGTCTACAAACTATAATATAGGCTGACTACTTATAGTTGTAGATGGCATTCCAATTGTATAAATTAAGAATTCCACATTTGACAACGCTTATATAAAAAAAGGTTTTAATTTGAAATTAAACCAGTATTTTTGTGTGTTAAACACGATATTTAACGGTGCTTTCAAATTATCGAGTCGCCACCACAATTGAGGCTAAAAAATATTTAGTATATAATTGGTATTAATTTTTACACACTTTTATATTACGTAGATGAATGAAAAGCAGCCATTAGGCTATTATTATTGTTCAATACAAACTAATTTTATGTAAAAATCTATAAATCAAGTGATCAAATTCGATAACAACAACGTATACATGATTATGCCCTTCGCAAATTTAAAATAGGGGTCAGTATTTTGAGTACATTTTAATAAAACACTTAGGTTTATTTAAATAAAACAGCATTTTCTTTGTATAAGGATTCGGTCACGCTGTAGCTAGCAAACTCAACAAATATAGTAAAAATTTGAACGAACAGTATATACACATATATAGAGGCGATAAACCATGGAGAAAGGGAGCAAGAGTAAACGTGGAGTACGTGATGAAAAACAGCGGGAACTGAAGCTTGAGGATTTGGTAAGCTGTCATAGCGCATTAGATTAAACGTTTGGCAACACCAATAGGAAAATTAAAATGCTGCCCGTTACCAGGTGCTCAAATCCTTGGAAGAATGCAGCACAAGCGAGGAAAAATTGAAATTGTTGCTACAGCGGCATGTGGAAAGCGAGAAGACAGTGAGCCGACTCACATCTGAGATGCGCGCTCTGCAGCGGCACACTGAGGCGCAACAGCGGGAGAAGGAGCAGGTGCAGCGGGAATTGAACAAGAGTGTTCTGATGAGGGATAAGCTGCAGGAAGTGTGCCGTGAACAGCAGCGCATACTCAAGTCGGTGAAAAACGAGAGCATGCTGCAAATCAAGGTGGAGGAGGAGCGACGCAAGGAGAGCCAAACCAAGTTTCAGAACTCGCTAAACGAGGTGCAAAAGTCGCTGTCCAAAAACAACGAGGAGAACATTAAATTACGTGATTACAACATCGAAATGACCAAAAAGTAAGAGGCGCTGCCATTAACAGACAAACACCGGCGTGCGCCGTCTATTTATAGGCACTGCATGCCTTGTGCCTGTGGATGTATCTGTGGCTGCCACACACAGACATAAACCGACCATATGTTCACTATTTGCGTATTTGATTTGCTTTTAGGTTAAAACTGCTGGCCGAGCAGTATCAGGCACGCGAGAAGCACCTGGAAAAACTGAATGAGCAGGTCCAACTCGAGTCCCAGCTGCATCAGGCCAAGCTGAACAAGGCTCAGGTTGAAGCGGCCATGGAAAAGGAGATACTGACCAAGTCGGTATAATAATATATTTGCAAAATATTCACTATATAACTCTTTCTGTTTCTAATGCCACACAGAGAAAATCAGATTGGCCTAGAGAAATTGCTGCAGGCGCAACGCGCCATCAAGGATCTAACAGAGCGCGAGCAACAGCTCAAACAGCAGCTTAACATTTATACCGCCAAATATGATGAGTTTCAGCAATCGCTTAAGAAGTCCAATGAAGTCTTTGGCAGTTACAAGGTTGAGCTGGAGAAAATGTCCAAGCACACCAAGAAAATTGAAAAGGAAGCATTGGTTTGGCGCCAGAAATACGAGAAGGCTAATGCGACGGTTATTGAACTGGCCACAGAAAAGCAGCATCGTGATCTGCTGTCGGAGCGTCTACAAAAGCAAGTGGAGCAACTGCAGAAGCTTCTGCGCGCCCTGCAACTTGAGCGCACAACTTTACACCAGACTCTGCGGGATAAGAAAATTGAGATTCCTGCCATGCCGCAGCTGCCGCCTGAGCCAGAACCCATTAAAGCTGTGCCAGTTAACACGGACAATTCCAAAATGGAACTGATGACCCGCAACTGTGCTGAGCTTAAGCAAACGCTAGCCAATTTACAAAGCCAAATGAAGCTGCTCACCACAAATGATGCCAAAATAGCCGCCGCTGAGTCTGAGAAGCGTCAAGCAGCTGAGGAGCAGCAAAGAATAAACAATGCCAAGAAGAACAACAAAAAGAAGGCCAAGTCAAAGGCAAAGGCTGCAGCAGCGGCAGCAGCAGCTGCGGCAGCGGCTACAGAGCCCGAATCCGACACCGCCAGAGAAGAATTGCCATCAACACTGAAGCCAGAGCCTGAGCCACAGCCCGAGCCACAGCCTGAGCCAGAGCCCGAGCCAGAGCTAGTGGTATCTGACAATGTGGAGCAGTTGCAAGCGTCTGGTGATAGCTGCAAAGGAACTGAAAAGGAATATAATGCCGAAATTGTGCCAGAATCTCAGGTAGATGTAAGCAATGCTACAGCAGCGCCTATTGAATTGGAAGTGCCTGGGTTGATCGATTCCAACGAAGTTTAGAGTCCTCGACTGTTTTTGTGCTTTTACTTGAAATGAATGCCTCCTTCCTATATATGTGTGCATTTTGTCATATTCATTTTTAAAATATATAACAAGCTAACAATTGTAAAACTATCAGTTATCCAGCTAAATAATTATTTATTCTATTTTATAAATTCTATTTATTAATGCGCAATTTATGAGCTGTATAAAAGAAATATCAGAAATAATTAAATAATTTTCCAAAAAATATATACAATATTTATTTGCGTATTCGGTTAAGACCCTCTGAATAAAAAGGGTATACAGATTTTTATATGTGGGTAGCAAACTGAAGGACACATCTCCGATTCCATAGACCTTTCTTAAGGTCGAGAGTCGATCGAGACATGAAATATATTATAGATTACCATTTATTATTAAGAAGTTTTTAATAATTGCAATATCGGCCCAAGTAACACCTTTTTTTTTGGCAAACCTGCAGCTAAACATATCAGACAATTGAGTTAAGGAATCAAGAAATTCCTAGCGATTTTTAAAACATAGTTTAAATTTGTCATCGTTCACATTTCAAAGATTTATTATAATATCGTGAGATACTACGTAAAGCAAACTAGTTTATAAAAGGCAATCAAATATGCTAATGGGGCTACAAGCTCGTCTGCATATCATTTATGTATCATAAATAGCTGGTACATATTAATATGATATGATATTTGATAGTTTGAGTCAATTTTTATAATCAAAAGAAAGCTATTATTATATATTCGTTTTTATAGAATTTTATTCATTTTATTATTTTCATCATCGTGTTGAGATCTAATACAATATTCTGTACGATTTATCACCGGGCATTAGGTGACATAAATATCTTTTAAATATTCTTTTTCGACTGACGGACTGAGTGTGGATCAACGCAAGGATCGTAGTATCGTCATGAGCCTGCGTGGCTTAGGTGTCCGCACAATGCCGGGTAATTTCTTCTAATAATAATCGAAAGTTAAAATGCTTTTTCAAGTTTACAATTGCAAAACATTTAAGTTTCCAATTTGTTAAGCAAAATGCGAAACTTTTTAAGATAGTTGTGAATAATTTTGCATCAGTTTCGTTTGCAAAAAGTTGTTGCAACAAAACACAACGCGTCGACTGTGGGTGCCACAGTGTCTGCCACGGAATGCAACACATGTCAGAGACTGCGGCTGGTCGAAGTCAACATTTCTTCGGGTTCTAAACAAACGCAACTTAATTATTTGCAGCACGCAGCTGTCATTCTAGTCAGTCATGCTACAGTTTCGTGTGAATATTTTAGACACATGCAACGTGGCGTATGCGTAATGCCACTAAGCCGAGCCGCAGACGCACGAAGGCCGGACGCTAAGCCCTGGCATTTTAAATAAAGCCATTTAAGTGCGCCACTAAAATAATTACAGAAATTAATTTAAATTGCATAAAGCGGCGTCCGACTACATGGAATGGCCTCAATTTCCCCCACGGGCCGAGTCCGTATAATGCCAGCCACAGCAGTCCAGCCAGCCATGTTGGCGACACATGTGCATATTTCACACTCATGCACACACACACACGCACACACACGCGCGCTTAACAAATGTGTGCACATTTCGCAGGCAATGAGCTTTTGAACATTTAATGAGTTAATACGCTAAATTTGAAAGGCGCGCAAGCGCGCGCTAAGTGCTTGCCTAGATTGCTTCCTGCCATATTCGCACCTTCCAAATGCCCATTATACGAGCCCATCAGCCAGCCTCATGGCCGCCATCCCACAAGTTGCCCATTTTAGAGCTTGAAAAATGAAAATGAAAATGCAAAAAAAAAAAATAAAGCAACAAGAACCGTATACAAGCGCGTGCACACACACACACACACACACACACACACATGCACTAAGCACTTGTCATTTGGCTGTAAAATGTCCGTCCGTCTGTCGCGCTCGTCCGTTGTTGGTGAAAAGTGTGGCAATGCTCAATACTCAACAATACAAGGACGCGGGGGCGGCATACAAAGGATGCTCATCCTAAGCTCTTGGGTATAATTTCTCAGGCACTGGCAAAAGACGACGATGTCGGCTAACAGCGAAACGTAACAGAGTCGTTGACTGCGACGTCAGCAGCACAACATGAGCCCAGCATATGCCTGAGACAGAGGCAATACTAGAAACAGACCAGAGTTGTGACGAGATGAGCACGAACCGAGCTACATAGTTTTGCGGTGCTGCCAGACTGTGTGACTCGACAACCTGTGCTGGGGCGCGGCCGAGTGCGGGTGTGTGTCGGAGGTACACGCTTTTAGGCTGGGTGTGTGTCGGCACAGTAGGCCACACCGAATGGGAAATGTGTAGTTGCGACCTATTGATGCAACATGAAAGATAATACTATATAGATAGTCACATAATCAGAATTGCAAGCCAATACATTTAATTAAATTCAAATCGTTAGGCAGTATTAATTTGATTTGCAAGAGAATACTAAAGTCGACTTTAAAGCTGACAATATGTTACGTGTGCATCCCATTGTACATGCGGCTGCCACCGCACATATACCAACCCCCCTAGTGAGCTGCTGCTCGCCCCCTCTCTCCATCGCAATCTCTCATTTCGTGTGCTCTCTCAGCCGCTTTCTCTCACCGCAAGAAGCCCCGCTGCCAGCGCAAAATGTGAAGCTGTCGACGCTGCCGTTGCCTTTCCCGTTACAGTCGCTGTCGCAGTCTCAGCTGTCAGGCGTCAGGCAAAACCAAAGCTGTGCTTAGTCAAATTTTGGTAACGGAACCTGGCCGTCCTCGTCGTCGACGTCGACGTCGACGTCAACGTCGTACTGCCGACACGAACGCCAAGCGAAATGAAAACGAACGTTAGCGTCGCTGCCTAGCTAGCATTCGAGCCGCAGTCGCGTTCGGCTCTGCTGCAAGGACTATAACTGTAATCAGTTGTGTATAGGACACTCGCGTGTGCACGTCGACAGGCTCCTGGGTAACGGCAACGGCAAAGGCAACGGGTCGACTGTAACGCAAACGAAATCTGGGACTGCTTGGCGGCAACGCTTTGCGGTTTGTTCTTAATTTTCATTTATGATATGCTGCTTTTTTAATTGTTCTTGTCGTCGATTGTTGATTGTTGTTCTTGATGTTGTTACTAAAATGTTCTAAAAATGAGCGTTGAATTTTCGCAAAGCAGCGTAAACGAAAATTTTTCCAGCTACAGCTGCTGGCGGTGCCACGGCCGCAGCTGCTAACGCTGCTGCTGCTCTGCTCTGCTAACGCCGCTGCTGCTGCTGCTGCTCCTGACTGCGCTGCTGCGTTGTCCGAGATAAAGGATATGCCCGGATCTAAAAGATACAGTTTTTTTTTTTACTTGTGCAGGCAGCTTGCTTGGCTTTTTGCTTTGACGCTGCGTTTGTAAGCGAACTTAAGCAACAACAACAACAACAACAACAACGGCAAAAGAAAATTTATACTGTGTGTGCGTGCGGCTTGAGAGCAGAATGATGTGAGTGACAAGTTGGCGAAAAAAAAAAAACCGAAAACGAAACAAAAATGTGCGCAACTATGCAAATAAATTAATAAGCCAAAGTCATTACCAAATTAAATCGAGACACGCAAAAGCTGAAGGCGGGGGGAGAGCGAAGAATAGAAACAGGAATAGCGAGGACCTTGTGAAGTGCGTCGCGTCGGGTCGAGTGTGGAAAGTCAAGAGTTCCTGACTTGGTGTATCGTAGCTTGCTTTGAGGTTAACTCGTCCGTTGTCCGTCGTCCCCGTATCCGTTCTCGTCCTCGCATTCGTCCTCGTCCTCGTCCGCGTCCGCGTCGTCATCGCCGCCAAAGGCATCGAAGGTAAATATACGCACAGCGCAGGCAAGCCAAACAAACTAACCTACAAAGTAAACAATAGCGTAGCGATATAAATGCAAATTTATCACCTACTCACACTTATACATTTGGGACCGAACTATAAAGAACAACTTATTTAACGGACGCACAGTGGTACAAAAGCAGCATAAACTCGAAAATTAATAACAAATTAATGTTAAGTATAGTATAGAAATAAGTAAATAATTATTTTATTTTATTTATTTTTGAAATATTTTAAATCTATTTAAGTTTTTCTATAACAATATAACAGATGTTATCGAAACTGGAACAACTACACATGTCGCATTTTTTTGAATAATTTTGAATGTCAAGTCCCACTGTGCGGCTGCGTAACGTAACATAAAACCAGCAAGCATGAAAGCAACTGGAAAATGCAAAAGAATTTGAAAATATAATAGAATCTGAACATGAAACAACACAAAAGCCAAACGTATGTCCCTAAATTTACGTGTGTCCATAAATTTTTAATCGCATGCGATTTATTTAACTAGGCGCCTCGGGCAAACACACGGTAAATCATACACAAATGTACTCCAAATAAAGCACCTGCAGCGTACACTGGCTTTTATTAGTTTACTCACAAGTGTTAAGTCTGGACTAGAAATGCGACTGGCCATGTTTACATGCCTTTGATTGTCTATTAAAATAAATGGATTTTGTTGGTATTGTGACTAATTTGACTTAAATATGTTTATTTTTCGATATTGTTTTTAAATTTTGTCAACTCTATTTAAGCCATTATTATAGTTGGCAACTCTAAAAATCTGCATATTCACCAACACACATGTACCACACATATATGTGCACATGCATATGTCTTTATGTGTATTAAGTGCATGTTTCAGAGTTTATTTAGCACATATGTACATGCATAACATATATGTATGTATGTACGTATGTATGCATGTATGTATGTATGTTCAGCAACAATCCAATTAAATTTAACAAAAAACAAAATATTTTTTATCGCTCAACAAACAACATCCATTTCGTGCAGAACATCAGTTTTTATTTTAATGGCAATTTAGATTTGGATGTTGATATTGATAGCGTAACAACATAGTATGATTTATATGAGAATCTCTTGATAGTTTTAATGAAATTGAAACTATTTTATACATATGCAAATTTGTCGTTTTTTTTTTATGAGCTTTAAATGCATATTAATTTTTTTTAACATTTTATTGCTCTTTAATGGGTAAAAGGGGAAAATTGCTCGCAACATGCAGAAGAAAGTAGCTCGGACCGTGTAACGTATATAT